AAAAAAAAAAAAAAAAAAAAAAAAAAAAAACCACCCTTGCTGGAAAGCCCTGCTCCATCTGGCAGGCAGCAAAGCTGTGGCAGGGTTGAGCCTGTTGACCGATCCCAGAAGTTACAGTGGAGTCCTTCCTCTAATGTCTTCCCTCCTTAGTTCACGTTTTATTTATTTATTTTTTACATTTAGGCAGCAACTGAGTGAATCTAGTCATGCCTAATTTTTGTTATTCATTGGTTAAAATGTCTCTCAAGCCAATTGAGAGCAGTGTGCGTGCTCAGTGGGGAGCAGTGCACCTTGCAGGTGGGTAACTTGTGGGCCTGGAGGTGTATGTTGATATTATGAGATAAGAATGAGCCAAAGTTCAAGCAAAGTCCCTACAAAGGGACTGATCTGTCAGCAGTGTTTGCCCAACACCAGACGTCTTACCATACGATGTGGTTTATCAATCAGCTGACAGCACTATTGGGTTGCCACCTCCATAGGGCTGCAGTGTCTTCATGCTTCACTCTTCATTTACTCTTATTAGTGCGTGCTAAGAGGGCAGATTGTGTTGCTGAGGGAAATCATGGGGAAAGAGATGCCGTGCGCACCAACCAGCCTGGAAGTGGTAACTGTCTCTCACCCCAAGCAAGCCGCTGCAATGTCATATCTTTTGTTAGGCACTAGTTTTTCCTATAATTTCCCCTTTCCCCAGCAGTTTTCTCACAGATACCATCAAAACTAAGGCCATATTTTTGCAGAGACTTCCCAAAACTGTCTTCAGAACCTTTACAATGGAGCATTCACAAGCAAATTAAGCACAAACAGCAAGGCATTTGTACCTAAGGTAGTAATTGGAGGAAGCAAAGAGAGAGATAACAAAAAGATAGAACACGGGCTGACAAACTGCCTTTGTGGTGAAGAGCTCAGCTCACTGCATTGTAGACTGCAAGGCTACATTGGAGGAACAATATTTTTCTTTGGAAGCCACTTGAAAGTAAATGTGGAACCTATAAATGGAAGTTTATTGCAGTCAAGGGTGGGCTTTAGCAAACTTGAAAGGTGTTGTGACCAATAACACAGTATAACTAGGCTTCAATCGACCTCAGAGATGCCAGTGCTGTGACAACAATATGGCGTAAAATATAAAGAATTATTGATAGAAGTAGTTTATCAATTTATTTCTGGATGTTATATGTCCACAAAAAAATAGGCTAGATCGAATACTAGCCTTATTAGGTTATTCTGTACCTTAGTTCCAATTCTTAATACTGTAGGCTTTGCTGTCTATACAAAGAATATCTTATTTATTTCCTCATCTTTGTTCAATATCCCATTCACTAATCAGAGCTGCTGCTGAGGAAACCCTAGGAAACAAACTGACATGGGCCTAGAYGATACAACCTTGGCAGGGTGACAAAGATCAGAGCCCTGATTCATCCCTATCACTTCAGAACATTATTTTCTATCATACCTGTCTACAATTCCAAACCCCGTGCTATGGTGCACTTGTACAGACTCAACATAGTTAACTATATATACAACATAGCTTGTTTACAAACAAATTACAGCATTAAATATAAATGTTATCATGACTGCTGTTCCATGTGGCAACAGCCAAACTATCAGCACAAGGAACACGAGCCCCAGCTTGAAAGGACTGTTTATTCGCGTGCAGAACCTGGGCTGTGCAGATGGATGGGTGCTGCAGCTAGGCAGAAGATGACATTGATCACCAGCCCCCTGTAGACGCACTGGTCAAATTAATTCATTGCGAGTCTTTAACTCCTCACCCACCAAATTAGCCTTTAAATTGTCCTGGAAGCAAACAAAGGTATGCGTAACATTGTAACAGCTGCTTGCTCATCAATAACTCTATGACAATGCTGTTACGTCCTACACGACAGTGATACTGAGCCCAGACAGGCAGAAAGCAGCCTGCTTCGAGCAAACCCTGCCTGCAATGCTGCAAACCACTGTGCAATCATGATATAATTAATAATAGCCGTTCATCAGCTGCTTACAGTCCCTCTTCTACTATTCTTTAAATATATGGCCATAGACCAGTAATAAGCTACATCACTTTCAGCACTAGCCTCTTACTCAATCTCCTCATGCATTTGAATGAGTGGTACACAAAACCAAGTTACAAAAGCAGCAGAAATGAGACTTCAGTGCTCAGTCATCTCTTCTTACCTTATTTCCTGAGATACAGCAGTAAATGCAAAACAGTTGGCAACACTAGCTACAATTTAGCCAATTAAGAGCTGATTCTTCAATAAAGACAGGGAAAAAAAAAAAAAACAACTCTCTACTTTTAAAATCCAAGGTTAGCCTAACACATACCCTGTAATTCTTCTGCTATGACCGAAACATTTAATTGTATTGAGAAGATCAATACCTTGAAGTGAGCTCACTCCAGCTTGGAAATGCTGCAGTCTGCTTGTCACATGCTGTTGGAGAGCAACGAATTACACTGCATGCGTGCCTCTACCCCCCAGTGCTACCTCTTTAGCTATGTGATCTGCGTGGCAGCCTCAGGCTTTTACAACATATAGGTTGAATTCAGGCACAATAAGGAAGCATAATCAACATCTGTTACTTGTTGGGAAGCAGCAGACCTTTAGCTTCTTGCAAGTCTGCCTGGATGGATGCTGAGCTCGCAGCTAACACCTTGCCTCKCAGCTGGCCTCATTTATTTCCCAGAGGACTCATGCAGAAAATTAACAGTTACAACAGTAGCAGGCTACCAACAGCTAGTTTGGAGGAACGGAGATATTTCCTAATTAAAAACTGCTACTCAAGGAAGCCTAATAACTTTCCAACCTTACAGGTAGACTAAATAAGGACAAGCCCAATAAAATGAATTAGCTTCATAACAGCAAGCAGCGTGTTTACACTT